AGTGATCCTGCTGCCTCAGCCTCCCAAGTAGCTGGGACCATAGGTGTGCACCACCACACCCTGCTCACTTTTTAATATTTTGTAAGGATAGGATCTTGCTATGTTGCCCAGGTTGGCCTCAAACTCCTGGGCTCAAGCAATCCTCCTACCTCAGCCTCCCAAAGTGCTGAGATTACAAGCATGAGCCACTGTGCTTGACTGCTTCTGGTGCCTGACAATGACAATCTTTGGTGATTTGCTGACAGTCTGTGGCGTTCCTTGGCTTGTGGAAGCATCACTGCCACCTCTGCCTCCCTCATCACATGGTGTTCTTCCCGTGTGTGCGTCTGCGTCCAAATTTCCCTTTTTCCTAAGGACACCAGTCATGTTGGACGATGGGTCCACCCTAGTCCAGTATGACCTCATCTTAACTTAAATGATTACATCTGCCATGATCCAGTATCCAAATAAGGACATGTTCCGAGGAGCTGAGGGTTAGGACTTCAATGTAGGAATGGAGGCTGTGGGGAGGACAAAATTACATCCTTAACACCAAGGAATGTTAAGGGTGGCAGCTGCCACCGGGAGCTAGGAGAGAGGCGTGGAAGGGAGTCTCCCCCAGAGCCTCCAAAAGGAGCCAACCCTGCCGATGCTTTAATTTCAGACTTCTGGCCTCCAGTACTGTGAGACAGTCCATTTCTGTGGTTTGAAGTCACTTGGTTTGTGGTAATGAGTTACAGCACCCTAACAAACTAACAAGCCAGCCCAGTGCAGGGCACATGCGGAGCGTATGATGAACAAGCTCCCGCTCTGTGCCCTGGGGAGGCTCATGCATGCTCTTCTAAGGTACATACGATCGAGCGGATCACTAGGGGAGCATTTCCTCTCCCCTAACCCCAGGTGCAGGGACTTCAGAGTAATGCCTACTAAATGACCCCCCTACCTCTGTTGCTTGACAAAGGGAGGTGCAAGGGGGAAAAAAGACTGTGAGGATGGGAGAGGGTGGGTCCTACAGGAAGTGTCACATCACTGTGGTTGCAGAGGACAGAGAAAGCAAACCTGTCTCCAGCAGGTGGAAATGGTCAGAATGTTGATGGTGGCCATGATGTATATGTTTTATTTTATTTTACTTTGAGACAGGGTCTTGCTCTTACTGCCCAGGCTAGAGTTCATTGGCATGATCATGACTCACTGCAGCCTCGACCTCCCAGGCCCAGCCTCGATCCTCCTGCCTCAGCCTCCTGAGTAGCTGGGACTACAAGTGTGCGCCACCAATCCTGACTGCTTTTTGTGTTTTTTATTTTTTTATTTCTGTAGAGACACAGCTTCACCATGTTGCCCAGGCTGGTCTGGAACTCCTGGGCTCAAGTGATCCGCCTGCTTTGGCCTGAAGTGTTGGGGTTACAGGCGTGAGCCACTGTGCCTGGCCAGCCGTGATACAGATGCTCAGCTCTGTGCTTCCTGTCTCATCTTCATGAGCTCCAGCCAAAAGATTCCCTCAGGTAGCTATTACTGCTCCCATGTTAAAAAAGAGAAAATTGACATTCAAAGAGGGAAATGACTTGTCTGAGGTCACACAAGTAGTGACAGCTGGGATCTGAACACGACTACACTGTGATGTGCCGATAAATGTTTAACAACTGGCTCTCCAAAGGGAAAAATGTATGTCTGTGTATAAACACATATGTTTACAATACATTTTGTAATTGTACTGATTATAAAGGATATGTACCACACACTTTACAAAGAATAATAATATAATCGAAAATTCTCTTTTTTGTAAATACCACACAATTATAACTTCAGGGTGACTTGCTATTTCTTGCAAAATCCAGTACCAGTTTTTATTTTATTTTTTAGTTTTTATTTTTTGGGGGCTGGAGTCTCGCTCTGTTGCCCAGGCAGCTTGTTAGGATGGTCTCTATTCTTAATGTCTAAATTCTACAAGAGGGATTTTTTTCCCCATAGAGGCACCATTCAGGGTGAGCTGGATATTGTTAGGATTTGGGAGCCAACAGGGGCTATCATTTATTCTTGTTCTTTGACCACATCATAGGCCATTGCCTCTTCTCTGTTTGCTGGTTCATGCAAGACCAGGAGCTCCCCCAGTAAGTGATCTGAAGGGTAATACCCATCCCCCGCAAGCCATGTCTCTCCCCCATTCTCTTGCTCAGCCTCGGTCACAGGAACCACCCTGTGGTTGATTCATCCTGACGATTATTAGAGGTAGCTTAGGAATGGATGGTTGAGTTGTGAGTTGTCGAAACTCAGTCAAACTGGCTCAAGTTAAACCTACTTGCTGGAAGAACACAAGGGAATTTAAAGGAAGCCAACTGCAGACAGTGTGTCTAGACCTTAGAGGAACCAGAACATTACCTGGTAGCTTCTCTCCCCACCACCCTTGCAATCTGGGGCTGCATCATCTCTCACTTCCTCTCTGTTCAAATCCTCTGCTCCGTTCTCTCTCTGTGGCTCTTTCTAGCAAATGATCCAGCTGGAGGGTGTTCTGGAGATTCTGCAAATTTGCAGTTGGTGTCAGAAGCGAGGGTGGTCTCGGACGGAGGCGGTGCCCCTGACTTTGTAGCAGGGCCCTATTTTACTGCACTCTCCTTCTGGGCCTCAGTTTCTCCATGTGTCAACATAGGAAGAACTCGCTGACTTCCTGGAGTTGGTGGCCTAAGGGGTTCCTGGATTTGCAAGTATCCTGGTTAATTATAAAAGAGGTACAGAAGCAAAATGTTTAGTTAAACCATCCTTTATTGAAGCCTTTTGTATGCAGGGGGAAGGCAAGGATAACACAATGCCCTCTAGAAGCTCTGGGGTCAGTGGCATAGATTAAATAAATGCATTGGATGCTGATGAGTAAAGCTTGCAGAGCTTCATGGGGGGTGTGCAGAAAAAAACCATCATGGGAGTCCAGAGATGAGCTAGATTCCCAAGGACCACATCATGTCATCAAAACTCAGGAATCTCCCCTTGCACTGGAATGAAATCAGCCCTCATCACCCAGCTCCTCACCCAAAGACAGGTTCTGCTGTAGGTTAACTTTGGATGCTCCAGGCCACTCCTTCATCTCTCTTCTTTCCATTCATTCTCCTTTTCTCTTCTGTTTCTTGTTTATAATAAAATGATGGCTGGGCGCGGTGGCTCATGCTTGTAATCCCAACACTCTGGGAGGCTGAGGTGGGCAGGTCATCTGAGGTAGGGAGTTTGAGACCAGCCTGACCAACATGGAGAAACTCTGTCTCTACTAAAAATACAAAATGAGTCGGGTGTGATGCATGCCTGTAATCCCAGCTACTCTGGAGGCTGAGGCAGGCGAATCGCTTGAACCCTGTAGGTGGAGGTTGCAGGGAGCTGAGATCACGCCATTGCACTCTAGCTTGGGCAACAAGAGTGAAACTCTGTCTTAAAATAAAATAAAATAAAATAAAATAAAATAAAAAAGATGTCTGTAATGGTAATTAAATGATTGCTTCAAGAGCTGGCAACAGAAATCTTCTTGATGGGGTGCTGTGGCTCACACCTGTAGTCCCAGCAGTTTGGGAGGCCGAGGCAGGCGGATCACAAGGTCAGGAGTTCAAAACCAGCCTGGCCAATATGGCAAAACCCCGTCTCTACTAAAAATACAAAAAATTTAGCTGGGCATGGTGGCGTGTGCCTGTAGTCCCAGCTACCCTGGAGGCTGAGGGAGGAGAATCACTTGAACCCAGGAGGCAGAGGTTGCAGTGAGCTGAGATCGTGCCACTGCACTCCAGCCTGGGTGACAGAGTGAGACTCTGTCTCAAAAAAAAAAAGAGCTGGCGCCAGAAATCTTCTTAAGGAGGATGCTATTATAGATAAATGACTTGAGTTGGGAAAGGAGACCTGAGGGATAGAGTCAGAGTCAAGGGTAGGATGACTAAATTTCTCCGCGTTTAAAAAAAAAAAAAGCAGAAATCTGAAGGTGAGGAGATAGGAGGGAGGGTGGACTTTTAAAAGGATGTCTTAAGTTCAACGGAAAGCTTTCATGTTTGTTGCTGGCCAGTTGCCTACTCTCACATTGCCAAGCTTCTTTCTGTAAAGCGTGTTTCATATTTAAATACCTTGTGCAGGTAGCTTTTCAGGAAATTGAGGGAAATGTCTGAGTTCCTCTCTGGGTTAATTTCATTCAGGGCAGCAACCACCAGACATTGTATGAATTGGACTAACTCAGTTGAAGCAAGACTTAGAGCCACAGGTAAAAACATAGGCTCTGGGGGCCCTCCCTTGTGGGGAGGACAATCTGTTTCCCAAAATTTATGATGTAAAAGATTAGGCAATCAGGTAGACCTCAAGGGGATGAGGGGTCTTCAACTGACATCTCCATAACTTTTTATTTTTACTGAGTTGTTGATCAATAAAGGCTGAGGACTTTATATAAAGTATCTTCTTTTTTTTTTTTTTTTGAGCCGGAGTCTCACTCTGTCACCCAGGCTGGAGTACAATGGCGTTTTCTTGGCTCACTACAGCCTCTGCCTTCCAGGTTCAAGTGATTTTCCTGCCTCAGTCTCCTGAATAGCTGGGATTACAGGAGCCTGCCACTACGCCCAGCTAATTTTTGTATTTTTAGTAGAGACAGGGTTTCACCATGTTGGCCAGGCTGTTCTTGAACTCCTGACCTCTGGTGATCTGCCTGCCTCGGCCTCCCAAAGTGCTGGGATTACAGGTGTGAGCCACTGGACTTGGCATATATGAAGTATTTTCTTGTATATCTTGCCTGATTTTAGCCATACTCTTTCACACTTCTCCCTCCTCCTCCATTTACCTAGGATGACTACATAATTTATTTTTCATAGCAGGGCACTTTTCAGAATGGAAGTGGACACTACTCAGCATTATGCCAGAATGAGGGTATCATTCACTACTCATAATTCAGGACTAATCATAATGGGTATATTCGGGTTCATCTCAGGCAAACTAGGATGCAGATGACAGCTTCTTCCTATCATTTCCCATCCTGACCACCCAAAGCTGAGGTCCAAAATCAAAAAAGAAGTCAATAATAAACGCATATCTGTTTATTCTCCCGAAATCAGGGGACATAAAGGCTTTTTTTTCTGATGAGTGGGTAACCCTAAAATAAGCAGGAAATGCCTGTGGCTCAGCCTAACCCAAGGTGAGACAAAGCTGGAGCTGGGAGCTCGAAAGTGTCCCCAGCTCCCTCCTCACTTCGCCTGTAACTGCACCTCTGCAGAAGGTAAAGTAGAATCGGTAGCTGTGTCACTGGTTTGGGCTGAGTCCTCGGTTAGGGCCCTCTCCAGACTGGCGGGCAGGGAGTGGATCAGCCTCTCCCGGAAGTCCTGGCCCATGAAGACATAGAGCATCGGGTTGAGGCAGCTGTTGAAGAAGGCCAGGGCACTTGTCACATCCACTGCAATTCTAAGTTCTTTGGACAGGCCTTGTAATATGTTATGGAGTCTAACTGTGGCTATGAAGGCCACCACCTGATATGGGAACCAGCAGAGAAAAAAGGCAGCTACGACAAAGGAGAGGACCCGCAAGGGACGACTGGACTTAATTAAGCCTTGCTTGTGGATCTTGGTGGCAATAAGCCCATAACTGACAACGACGATGGACATGGGCACGCTGAAGCCAATGATGAACCGGATGATGCCTCTCACCGTCAACATGGCAATGGTCACCTTCCGCTTCTCCACAGGGTCATCGGTCCAGGGTGAAAAGTCAAAAGTGCAGGCTACTGTCCCTGGCCCGAGTTTACCAGGTACTGTAGTCACACGAATGATAACTGGCAATGTGAGGAGCAGAGCCATCACCCAGGGCCCGATGATCACCTTCTTGGCCAGGCTCACGGTGCGGTGGTTCTGGGTCCAGACTGGATGCAGGACACAAATACAGCGGTCCAGAGCAATGAGGGCGATCAGGAAGACACTTCCAAACAAATTGATATCCACTATGCTAAAGATGAATTTGCACAGGAACCAACCGAAAGGCCAATGTCCTCTCATGACCTTCACGACCACTAAGAACGGCAAAGTGGAGGTGAAACAGAAGTCAGCCACAGCCAGGTTCAGGTAACTGATGGTGGTGACTGTGTGTGTCATCCGGAATCCAGCCACCCAGATCACAAGCCCGTTGCCCAGGACCCCGAGGACAAAGGTGACTGCAAATACCAGATAAGTGAAGATATCCAGGAAGAGATAGCTAGCAGCTACAGCAGGTGGCCCTCCAGAGATGTTCGTGGGGAGAGAGGAATTTGTCTCCATTTTGTCCACTCCTGAAATAGTGCAGTCATGGTCATTCCTCAGTTATGATCCTCCGCACCATTTCCCCATCCCATCATTTCTGCCCCTGCCAGTTTTCCCACTGATAGCTTTCTCACCTTCCCCTAGAGCTCCCACAACAGCTGGAACATCTTCACCACTGTCCCTTACACATGTCCACATGTATACATTGGCAATCTTTTATTGTACCTGTTAGGCAAGATTACATATTTTCTTTCTTTCTTTCTTTCTTTCTTTCTTTCTTTCTTTCTTTCTTTCTTTCT